ATTTTCCAGCTTTGTAGATTGATCTTTCAAGATTTACCACGGCAGAAACAACATCAACAGTAATGTCCAGTAGTTCCACGCAATATGTCGCAAACAAGCAGCAAAGCTTGAGAGATAAGGGATTTGCCAAATCCCGTCGGCAAATTTATGAACTCATCAGTCTTCGCTATAAAATTTGCAGGATAGCTTCTCTCTCATACTTGTTTAACTCTGTATTAATTACAAATTTCTCGCTCACTCGATCAAAAGCCTCACTGATCGTGAGAATCTTAAGAAGCGCCTCGGGTTACGTTTTACAAAAATCCGTAAACGGCCTGTGATTGGTGAACGTAAAAGTCGGCTCTGTTTAGCAGACGTCCGTGGGGGAGAAATGAATGCGTGACAAACGAACCCCAAAGGACGTCTGCGGGGAGGCTATATAATTTTAGGTTTCTGGGAAAATACCCACCAACCCCTCCCCTAACTCAACATTAACATTTGCATCTCACTTGGAGCGAAATGTTGGGTTAGGAGAGGGGTAGATGGGCAGTTTCCCCTTAAACCTAAATCGATCCGAAGTCTCTCCCATGAATTGTCCCTAGCAACAAGAGGCAAGGAGAGACAGCTGTATTGACAAGCTATCAATGAAGTGGTCATTCATTGATTTCAACCACTTTGACAAATGAACATTGAGGCCTTACACTAAATGCTTATAGGGATGATTGCTTATAATGCAACTACATAATATTGTTTTGCTCCCTTCTGTTTCTACAGTTGATTGGATGGTCTCGGATTTCATTGGTATTAGGCAGGGCTCACTGGGAAGAATAAGATACATTCTGAAGAGTGGACTGAAGTATTTGCCATTGTATGGATTTTACTTTGCACAGGTGAGCAAGTAAAGCCTTCTAAACCAAATAGTAAATCAATTAATTTGTAGATATTATTTAATCATTAAAATTTTGATATCAGTTGATAAAAAGGCAAAACTAAACAGCTTGAAACTACTCAATCATGTTCAAAATCAAGTCAGTCTTAGTAAGGCAAAAATACAAAGCACATGGTGGCCCATTTTTCTAGATGCCTGTGTAAAACAGTCAGAGGCTCTTATGGCTAAGGAGGGGTTCCCACAATTCAAATGTCACAACAATATTTATGTCACTGAATTTTGTATAATTTTTGTGATGACAATACCTTAGGTAGATGAAGGTAGTGATTTACCAGTAGGTAAGAGGCTGTTGTTATGATCAATGATGTCTAGAAACTCTTGAAATAATTAAAAATTACGTGGTGTTGCAGTAACCAGACGTTGTAGTGTGTCTGATAGATTTTGTGATCTTAGTAAGGAAAGGTGAATCAGGGTTGGCCAAGGGGTAGTAATATACCATTGTAGAGGGCGTGTGCTTTCTAGTAGCTCAGGGCTAGTGGAGCTACCCCTCAGGCCAGCATATTTTAATACAAGTTGTCCGACAGGCAAGCCACTTTTGCTGAGATAAAGCAAGGGATAAAGAAAAAGGGTATTGGTAGGCCTTTTACATATACAAAAGAAACACCTTGCCTTTAGGGCAAGCTGACATTCTTGTTTTCATTTTTTTTGTTTTCTTTTTTTAATGACAGCATTCATGTATATATGTTAAGAGAAGTGGTGCAGACGACCAAGCGCATATCATAAGGTATGTACTTGACATACTATGAAACTGTAACTTCTTTCATAACATTATACTGTCATTTTTATAGGGGAGCCCTTCCCCCGAGGGGGAGTGACCTGCCACACAAAAGCAGCCTGTGAGAGCCACTGCTTAGGGTGCTCCTGCACCATGAGGTTTAAGAAGCCAAATAGTGAAATAAAGTTATTTTTATTTTTTTTTTTGTCAAAGGAAACTGAAGGAAATGAAAGCAAGAAAGCTGCCTGTGAGTATTTTTAATTAGACCTTACTGGAATGAGTTACTTTAATATATCAGGCAATGATATCCTCCGTCAGAGATGCTACACATTACCACATAAATGAAGTGAGAGTAATAATAAAAAATATTATTAACATGTACCCATGAACGTAAAAAAAAAAGATCTGCTGTAATAATCTTCTAAGTAATGTATCAATGTATGCATTGAAACATTCATAGATACATATATTATATTTTATTCATCTATATTTACATTTATACATTTATACTTTATTTTTATATTATAGGCAAGTGATTTTGTCATCAATATTTTTGTTTGGTTGTAGATGTGGTTGGTGATTTTTCCTGAGGGCACAAGATACAATGTATTGAATACACAAGTGATTGAAAAAAGTCAAAAGTTTGCTGCAGAGAGAGGTACAATAGAACCATTTTATACAGGCTTGAAGTAAATAGTAATTATAAACTAATAAATTTATTCAACCCAACATATTACCTCTAATATTCATTTCAACAGGTCTACCAGTGTTATCACATGTCCTGACACCAAGAACAAAAGCTACTGAAGTTAGTATTCAGAAAAGTCAGATATAGTGCTGTTTAAAAGTAGTACATATCGCAACAGAAGAAGTCATTTCATGATTAGTTTTGATGCAACCTTGCAACCACAGTCAGATAATCTTTTGAGAAGGATTTTTATTGCATGGGCTCTGAGCAAAAACAGGTTGATCTATGGAAAAAGTATTGATGTCCACTAATTTTATGAAAGCAATAGACCAAACTTTCTATGGGTTTACCAGCGTGATAACCTACTTGGGATGTTGGAAGAACACAAGAAAAGCTTGTAAATCACGAGCCGAAAGGCTCATGATTTACAAAGCTTTCATTTGAATGGTCATATCATAGGATTTTGTCCACAGACTCAAAAGTTAGTTCCCTTATGAAACTCCATCAATCATCCATTCTGGCAGTGAAAGTGCTCATCAGCAGTATAATTCCATCTGTGGTGCAGACTTAAGTTATTTAGAGTAACATAAACTTGTTTGTTCTTTTTATTTTCAGGCGAGCTTTGAGGTATTATCTTCAGATTACCTGGATGCAGTATATGATCTTACCATTGCCTATAGTAATGCATATGAGAGTCCAGTACCTCGCAGGCCAGCACCAAGTATGACAGGTATTACCAAGTCCAGCAAGTTTTCGAATTCCATCAGGAGTCATTTAAGGCCTTGTTCCACTCCCCATCTTTATTATATAACTCAAGGGAAGTGGGAAAACAGCCAGCACTTTCAGGACACCACCACTGGTTTCCACACGAAATGAGGAACAAGAGCAGAAATAATTGGACACTGATGACGTGTCACTATTTAGACCTGAACAGTGCTTCTGATTAAATGAAAATTTGCCTTGTATCAGAAGCACTACCCAGGTCTGGATAGTGATCCATCATCAGTATGAGTGAGAAGTAAGTGTTAATGCTGGCTTAAGGGAGGAGTTGGTGAGCAGTTTCCCAGAAACGTATAATGCAGGGGCGGAGCTATGGGGAGGGTGCAGGGGGTGCACACCCCCCCCCAGATGACCTGCGATTTTCTAATACAACTAGTATTCTGCCAAAAAAAAAAACTGTGTGGTTTATTGGTGTTGAAGTAGAGCAAGAGACGAGGGCACCCCCTCCCACATGGATTTTACAGGTTCCAAGCCTTGGGCTTTCTTCAATCTTCAATTTTTCTTAGAGCACCGCCTTGATAAGTATTATTGTATTTACTGATGCTAAGTTCTTTCCTCAGATTTTCTTCTTTCAAGAGGCCAGAAAGTCCATGTCTATTGTCGTAGATTTGCAGCTCATGATTTTCCGAAAGTAAGTACTGTTAATGTAATACCTAAGCCAGGCTAATATTTTTTTCAGAAGGCACACACACCAAAAAAATTCAGATATTTTTACTGAGGCAATGGCCTTGGTTCCGCCACCTCTATGGGCCGTAAGGTGGCTCGATACAGTTTTTCAAGGCCAATACCTCCCAAGTTTGAGCATAAACTACGTCGCCATAAACAAAGTTTTGGAAAAATTGCCACCACAGTTGTATTAGATAAAGATGAAAATTTGTTATGATCAGGGTTGCAACGGCATCGGAGTTGTCATAGCAACAAAATGACGCTATTACCTATTTTACTTGCAGCAGTGTATCTCGGCACTGAGAACTGTTCTTCCAAAATCGTTCACGGGAGCTTTTTCCTCCAATAGTAGCCTCGATGTTTGTGAAGTTTAAGCGAAATCTGTAAGAGCGTTATCGAGATATTTTGGGATCAAGATTTTGTGGTTAGAAATACTGTAAAAAATGGATAATCTTGATGTTCGGCTGTTATCTATAGAAAATGAAGCGCTTTTGACATGCAATTTCACCTGATAGTAGTTTCAATCTTTTTAAAAAGGTGTGTGAAAGACCGTGGAGATAGCTCCAGCCGATTGCTAGAAAGAAGGATTTGATTAGTATGTATCGAGGCGCTTTTGTTAGCGGTTTTTTAACATTTTGGTCTACTTTAACAAATTAGCGAATAATTTTTAAACCACTCGATAGATTTTTTTTAAAAAAATAAGATTCTTGAGATTAACCTTCATTTTAGATGATCCTTTAGTTTCAAGATTATTGATATATTGTAAGGAAGTAAAATAAGGGCTACAATTCGCCAATATTTTGGCAGAAATTTTGTGTTTACAAATGTGAGCCTCTCATTATTCAGGGTATTGTCTCCAAGTTTCATATTTTCGCGCATAACAATAGCTAGCATTTTTGCATATGTCAAATGCATTGTTAGTTACTGTTGTTCACGTGAAAATGAAACTTGGAGACAATGCCTTGAATAATGAGAGGCTTTCACTTGTAATAACAAAACTTCCGATAAAAAAGTAACGAGTTTTAGCCCTTATTTTACTGCCTTACAATGTATCAATAACCTTGAAACTAAAAGGTCATATAAAAGAAAGGTTAATCTCAAGAATCTTAAATTTTAAAAAAAATCTATCAAGCGGTTTAAAAATTATTCGCTAATTTGTTAAAGTAGACCAAAATGTTCAAAAACCGCTGACAAGAGCGCCTCGATACATACTAATAAAACCCTTCTTTCTAGCAATCGGCTGGAGCTATCTCCATGATCCTTCACACACGTTTTTAAAAAGATTGAAACTACTATCAGGTGAAATTGCATGTCAAAAGCGCTTCATTTTCTACAGATAACGGCCAAACAACAATGTTGTCCATTTTTTACTGCGTTTCTAATCATAAAAACTTCATCCCAAAATATCTCGATAACGCTCTTACAGATTTCGCTTAAACTTCACAAACATCGAGGCTGCTATTGGAGGAAAAAGCTCCCGTGAACGATTTTGGAAGAACAGTTCTCAGTGCCGAGATACACTGCTGCAAGTAAAATAGGTAATAGCATCATTTTGTTGCTATGACAACTCCGATGCCGTTGCAACCCTGATCATAAAAAATTTTCATCTTTATCTAATACAACTGTGGTGGCAATTTTTCCAAAACTTTGTTTATGGCGAGGTAATTTATGCTCAAACTTGGGAGGTATTGGCCCTGAAAAACTGTATCGAGCCACCTTAATTGAAGTGAATATTGGAGTGTCAATATTGATTGAGATAGGGATATAAACCCAGAGGGCAAAGCTGTAAGTAGAATACCCCTGTAAGATTGTTTTGAGTAGACAGAAAAGAGACCAAGAAACTTGCAAAAATTGAGTTGACTTGAAAGCATAAATGATAAATTAATTATTACTCTCTTGTCCTAAAATGATCATTGTGTAGCATTTAAGCGAAGGTAATCAGGGTAATCATTAAGAGCTGGGGATCAAGAATTTCCCCCGTCTATTACGAACGTGGCCCCTGGCTACTTTCGTAGGAAAACAAGAAAAATAGAACCAAAAGAAATCCCAAGCAGTTTGATTTCCTACCTAATTGTTGTATTTACCCGGCAACTTTAAATCTTGGTGACATCCCTGAGGTACTATTTCTACAAATTTCATCAGAGATCTGATTGAGAGTTTGCATTATTCTCCGTTTTAATTCAATTTATCTCAAATTTATCATTTAAGGATAATGAAGCAACGAAAAAGTGGCTTCATGAAAGGTTTGCAGAAAAAGACAGGTAATTTTTAAAAACAGTCATATTTTTATTTTTTATTGAAAACTATTTTGAATGAAGCTCAAGCGGCGGAATTAGAAGAAGTTAACAGCATATAGTTGTCAGGACAACACTACTATCTTTTTTGTAGGCCTGTTAAACCAAATGGCATACATTGTATTCTCAGGACCATTTCTTCTGTCAATATCACACAATTTAGAAAACAAAATATAAATGCTAAAAGATAACTTTTGTGGTGATTTTTTTACTGAATATCAATATTTGTCTTCACTTATGAATTAATGTTTTTTTCTCATTTCTTCATGATATTTTATTACTAATACTGTGAAAAATATTGTTGTGTTTTTAACTTTTTTATTATTATCACCCCCTTTAATTAAGTAACACCTGCAATAATATTATTGTGAAGCACCTTAGTTATGTGAATATATATGAAATCAATATATTTTTTATTTAATGAAAAAAATTTTTGTAAAACAAAATTCATTGTTATGTAAATAACTCAATTCTTTGCTATGAACATTTAAGTGAAATTATATAATTTTTTATTTCGTGTCTTTAAAATTTTAAAATTTCGATTTTTTTATTTTCCTTCAGGATTCTCAACAAATTTTACAGTGAAGGTGGTCAAATGCCTGGTGTTCCACGAAGAAGGAGATTGCCCTGGTTCAGAACTTTCCCATCCTTTGTAATTTTTATGGCTGCTTTACTTCCTTTTCTAATGACCAAGTGGGGACGATCAGCTTACTGGAAAATGTGGCTTGTATCCAGCTTTGGAACAGTGTCTTACATGATGTTACTGTTTGGGAAAGTGCAGCGTTGATCAGAGAAATATTAACAGTGTGTGTGCTGTGTCATTAGGAAAATACGGTCAAACCTCCTGTTGGCGACCACCCAACATGCAAAGATTTAGTGGTCCCCTATAGGGAGGTAATAGTGAGTTTGCGTAAAAAGAAGGCAGAAAGAACAGGACGGCAAAACGCTTGAGTGTGGCAAACGTGTCTATTACTTGCATGTTTTGTCATGATCTTCACTCAACATTGTTTCCTGGTCTTTTACAAAAAGATCTGTTAAAAGGAAGGTGAAGTTTGGTGGAAAGTTTTTTTAAACAAAATTATTGTCATGCTTGTCTCACAAGGCTTGCGGTCTTCTTTCCTCTCCTTCCTGTTGCATAAGGTCACTATTCACTGAGAATCAAACTTCAGGAGCGTCTTTCAAGAAGGAGGTTTCTGAGACATCTACTAATTATTGGTAAAGAATTTATTAGCATGTCTTTCAATTATTCTACTCTACAGTATCACTATCTGTAGTTCCATGTTGTTACTGAAAGCTCATCACCACACTCCTAGCAGCATATATAATACATACCATAAAAATACAGATCAGACCTATGGTTAAAGTGGTCATGCACTTACAAGAGTTAAAAATTAACAATGAAAAATTATAAACCCCAAAAATTGGTTGTGGTCACTTACACCAGAAATGGTTGTTTAGAAGAGTTTCCAACCATAGGACTATGACTGGAAAAATTTTGATGCACTTGATAGATAATCCCCATGGGAGTTGGTCGCTTATGAGAGGTGGTCGCACACAGAGATTCGACTGTTTTCCACATGGAAGGGTCTAAATGTTTTATAATAGAGGGCACACTGTTAAGAAAAACCGTAAAAGGAAGGAAAAGGGCACTATGAGTCCCTTATGCTCAGTGCTAAGCACTAGTGGCGGGTGAAAAGCATCTGAGCGACTTCACCCAGCAAAGTCAGCTTCGTTTTTTCCTTAAATTGACATTAATAATAATAAATTATGGATTTGTGATACAATCAGTTACTCTTCTTAAACTGGCTGTAGAGCAACCCCTGAATTCTTGACAACAGAGTTTGAAAAATACTATCTTTACATTAGGATGAAGTAGTTACTGCATTATTTATGACTGTAGTAAAATGAATTTGTTAAGAAAAATGGTAATTGGCGCTGCGAACATATACAATCAGCTAATGACATACATGCAAATATTCAAGACACTGAACAATTCTCCCCCCCACCCCCCTTCACCAAAACACAAAAGTGAACCAACAATGGTTTCCGCAACACCAAGAAATTATATTAGGTATTTAATATAGTTCACTGGTTTTAACTATGCAGTAAGCTCTATTATTATTTAAGCTTTCCTAAACAAAAAGCATTTTATTTTGTATAATTGTTTAGAATGAAGTGTTTAAAGAAACGTTTTTTACGTTAGAGCTTAATGCCATAGTAACATTTTATGATTCCAAGAATTAACACTACCACCTGGAAAACACAATATTAGATATATTGGCCCTGTAATACAGTCCTAATAAAGTATCCACATTAAGAGGTCTGTAACTTCTTTAAAGAACCAGGCCCCGGTTGTTCAAACGTCGGATAGTGCTAATCCACCGGATAAATCACTATCCAGCGGATAGCGTAATTGATTTCCCTAATACTTATCCACTGGATAGTGATTTATCTGGTGGATAGCGTTATCCAACATTTGAACAACCGTGGCCAGGTGAAAACAATGGACATTATTGAGAGAATTGTAATTGTTAATGGAGCAGGCAGGGTTTCCAAGTTTGGTTATTCTAGTTGTTTGATTTTCTTTTTGAGGTAGTTAGGTGTCAACATATGTAAGGGTGGCAAATGGTACCTTGAAAAACGTGGGTCTCGGAAAATTTTGGCAGGATCTCAAAAATCTCGGAAACGTTTTTGATAAGTCTCGAAGTCTCGTTTTTTCATGGTTTGTTTTTACTTTTTTTGAGTCTCGAAACTTTTCACCAAAGAGTCTCAGGCTCGGATTTCTAACTAGGATCTCGGCATCTCGGCAAGTCTTGGATTTTACCATTCGCCACCCCTATATGTGTAAGCTGGGCATTTCACACGTTAATAAAGTCTTTATTATTATTATCATTACTACAGTGGAAATGTTGACAACATTAAAGAGCTCCTCTGAACCCTCTTTTCCAGTAACAGTCAGCTGCCTCTTTGCCGGGGGTTTTCAAGGGAAGTTTCTTTAGAGGTGTGTCACTGAGGCTTTTAAAACCTGACCCTGACAAAAGTCATTCATGTCACCACCCTGTTTAAGACAAGAGACCTTATGTTATGACTGTGGTTCATTTGTTTTTCACATCACATTTTTCATAAATGTAATTTTTTTGCACTTTTTGAATGCACAGCTATTTTTTCATGGAAGATAAACATTGCCTTTTTGGTCTGAATGGGAAAAAAATTGATTTAAGGGTCAGGTCATAAACTCAAATTAGGTCATAAAACCATCAGATTTTGGTTTTTGTAAGGTTTTGGTCCAATTTGTTTCACATCACTTTTATGTAATTTTTTAAACACATTTTATGGAATTAGTTTTTATGGGAAAAAAATTATTGCAACTCATTGCCAACCATCACGTTCTTTTTGTAAGGTTTTGGTCCAAAAAAAGTCCCATTCAAGACGCTAAATAGTGAAATTGTATACCCCGTTTAGGAATAAGAACTGTAAAGACCTTACACCCCAGAGCAGCACATACCCATTTGGGCCAAATAAGGGAGTACCCCCCAGGTTATCCCACTTCCCCAATTGGTACCAATGGACCATCGGAATTGCCCTGTAGCCAGCCAGGTCACATGGGAAGATAATCTACGTCCCCTTAATGAGATGCATATTCACCAATAGAACCGTTCGAACGACATGAGTTTCTATTGGTACCAATCGTACCATTGGTACCAATGGACCATCAGCTTGACGAATCGTATCCGTTTGTGTATATTGGACATGTGTGAGAGCCTGTAGGGAGCGTCCTCAATAGGGATAACCTCTGACGTTTCCTTTTATGTATCCTTACATAATAAAATATCTTATTTTATTTTTTTATAAGGATGCTGTACAGGGTCTAGGCAAGTGTTGAGGGGGTGCTTTGACAGAAGCAGTAGTCCCAAGAGTGTCCAACATCAATTTTCTCCTAACGTTATCAATACATTATCAAGACGAAAGGTTATTCGAATAATTAATAAGGGAAAAAACTTTGATCTTCTAACAAATTCTATTAACTAAATCTTTAAGGAAATGACTGTATGGAGAATTTGTATGTAGATATTGGGGCTAAAAGAGTTAAAATGCATAAAAACTATACATGTAACATTCTTCTAATGAGCCACATAGCTGATATAACGGCCTATTCAGTGGTGTAAACATTGTACCGTGTGGTTCACAGTTAGTCTGGAATAAGACAGAGATGTTCGTTTGATGCTTGGTCTAGAATAGGGTATGCAGTTGAAAATGCTCTGGTATAGGTCGAGGGTTTTTATGATCTCAGTGGCACACCCCCACCCAAAAAATGCTAGAGAGCCCCCCCGCCCCCCCGAAATTTCTCTATGTAATATCAATGATCAGCAAAAATTTAATGATACAATTTTTATACAACTTGTCTTCAGTTATGCTGTAGGGAATAATATAGTTTTATAACAAAAAGAACAAGGTAAAAGAAAGAGTTTCGGCCCTTGTTCTTTTCAAACATGTAAGTTGTAACAGCACACGACACTTCACTGGTGCATGCTAAGCCATGAATGAAGCCACGCTGGCAAAATGTTTTAACTATTGCTCAAGCTCATTCTTCAAATTAAATTAAATAAAAGCTAGGTAACCTGTTTGAGTCTCCTTTTTAAGTTATTAAAGTGGTAGAGACAGCTTTAATGAGAACTTAGAAACTGATACAGTTGAACTTCCAGTAAGCAACCACCTACAATGCCAAGACTGACAGCGTAATGGTTGCTAACTGAAGGTGGTCGCCTAAGAGAATCAAACCATGGCATCGTTTCCAAGAAGAGATCTTGCCACATCTACTTTTTGGAAGATAATTTATTACATGCAATTTCTAAGTTATGATAATGTGTGGTTCCACTTTGTCACCAAAGGTCTTTGTATACACTGAATAGCAAGTACTTAAAGCAAACACAGAAATCAGACCATGTGTCAACTCAAGTGGTCCCTTACAAGAGGTAAAAAACAATGGAAAATTTAAAAAAATGTCATGCTAAAAATTGGTCACAATTGCTTACAAGAGGTGGTTGTTTACAAGGGGTTCCAGAAAAAAATTTGGTGTTATGAATAGGTGGCTGCCTCTGGGAGGTTGTCACTTACAAGAGGTGGTTATGTATATATAGAGGTTCAACTGTATACTGTGTACTTCATTTTGGTTCTTTCAACAATACTTTTCCATGGCCATGTTGCCTGAAGCCCTTTACCAATAAACTGAATACTTAGTTACACTTCATACCGATCTTCCATTTGGAACCTGAAGATGTTGCTATCCTCTGGGCACCAATTTTCCTTCTAATTTATTGTAGGATTTTCAATGAAATTGTCCCTTTTTGTGGTAGAAGTAACAGTGACCTTGAGAAACCACGATGGCAATAACAACAAGAAAACCCAAAAGCAAGAGGTTTAATAAAGCAAAACAAAAACTGAGGGTGCGCACTTTTTGGTAAATTTCCTTGCTGTCATCACGGAACTAACTTCATTAACCTTGATCAGAATAGCAATGTGATCATTGCTTTAATCTATAAAATTGTTGTTTCATCAAAAGTGACTGTTGCAACTTAAATTTTGTCAGGACTACCCATACGGAGTCTCCACATTCCACTCAAGAACCAAAGAAAGGAAAATTTCATTTGAAGGGCTGGCAGATGATTCTAAGTAACTGTTATTTACCTGTAAAGATACTCGCTTTAACCATATATTAAATTGCAGTGCCCAACTGCTTTGAATAATAATAAAACTTTTTTATAGCATCAACTAATAATAAAAATTAGTTGATGCTATAAAAAAGTTGCTACTGAAATCCTTGAACTGTAAACTTAACATCAGTACATGGTCCCCCACCACCACCTCACGCACAGCATGACCACAGCAGTTAATGTCTCAATACTTGAAGACTGTTCATTTCCCTAACGAATACTACACAAATGATTTTTCACAAAGATGCTCCTTCTAACCTAGTAGCAACTTCCTCAACCCCAGACTCCCCTTGGCTTTGCACTTGGGAGGATTCCCCCAAGACGTGCTGTGTTGATGATGTATCATTGGAGACTTCAGATGTGGAGTGTACAACCTCGCCTTGGTTTTCGCCGTTATCTCTTTTATCAATGCCCAAGGAATCCGCTGTTTGAGCAGGGGCGGTTAACCGCGATGAAGGAGGAATGCGAATTCCGGCTACACCCTTCCTATCTACATCCCTCTTGTCACGCTTGATTCTCCTCCTCCTACCCGGTTCATTCTTACGCGTTTGAAACATGTTTTCAAAGTCTATCACGTAAAGAAAACCGGCAATGAGAAGAGTACATGATCTCTGTCCACTTTTGAAAGCTTTTTCTACTTCCGGAGAAGTCTTCTCGTCGTAAGCCCACCATCCGTTGCGGCCTTCGTAGTACCAAACAAAATCTTGATCCTCGCTTGATCCATCGCCATTTTTCTCAACTGTTTTACAAGAGTTCTCTTCCTTGCTATCTTTTTCTACAACTCTAATAAACGTAGGGTTTTCAAGGTAGACTGCGGTGACCGCATGGCGGCATAAAGCGCACTTTCGGCTTCGTAAAACAACACCTTTTATACATAAAAAGCAAAAGATGTGGCCGCAAGGAAGTTTAACCGGATAAAAACTTGCTTGTAGACAAACTGGGCAATCGGGATGATAGTTCAGTTCTTCCACAGTCTGGACCACTTCCTCTTCAGCTATCCCTAAGTATTAAAGAAAATCGGCTTTCTTAAATAACATTTCAATAAGAAAAAACCAACGCAACTGCGGTTTGAAAATATAGGAACACAACGAACAGCTGCACACTACAAACAAACCATATTCTCGTCAAAAATAACATTTACTGACCAACTGTAGATGTTTCCTCTGTCTCTTCTGTGGAAGTTGGAGTTTCTGCTTGGCTTTCAGCGGTATTTACAACTGCCTCTGCCATTAAAAGTGTAAAAACGACTACGAGCAAATCTTTCAGTCGATCTTCCACTGCCGAATCTGCCGAACTTGAATGTTGATAGGTCCCAGTCCTCCTCTAACTTGTTACAAAACAGGCAACCCACTTTCAAGCGAAATCTTATGGATCGGCATAATTTTTTCTAGCCTGAACTTCTAGTCGTTTTAACTGAGCAAGTAAGTGACTCCTTGTAATCGTCTGAACTTCAGGCTAATTTTTTCCTCTTTGTAACTAGAAAAATTAGTTTTTGCTCTTTGTAATGGTCTTTATCGCACTTTGTAATGGGTATTTTCTTGATTGACAGTTACGTCATTCAGATATTTCCAGCAACAGTTATTTTTAGTGACTGTCCCCTTTGAATATTATTATTAACATACAGATTTATTATGTGGTCCAATTGAGGATGCCTATATACCGAGCCAGGACTCGAGCCATGACTTCGAGCCTGGACTCGACGCCGTACTCGGCAATTTTTCGCTTCCCTGCCATTTTCACCTCCTGTAAGTCACATGACCATAAAGAGGACGGTTAGGGCTAGAGGTTAGGGACAGGGTTAGGTTAGGGTAAGGTTAGCAGGTTAGGGTTAGGAGGTTACAAGTTAGGTTAGGAGTCCTTTTTGCTGCTTTTCTTTTACTTTTGTTTTTTTGTTTATTAATTATTTTTACTTATTTATTTTTTTGCTTGCAGAAAGATTAGAAAAGTCCTAACTGGAGTCCTGGCTCGAGTCCAGGCTCGAATCCTGGCTTTGATGTTAGTTTATCTCGGTCCACTTGGCCATCAGTTGTCCAGAAGAGTTCAATTTCTATGTTTGTTAACCATTGTGATAAATGTTTTCTTAAAATGCGTTGCATAATCGCAACCTTTAAGACTTGTATTCGGTTTATGGGGAAAATGAATGCCATATTTTATCTTAGCGGTATCTGTGAAATAATAATAATAATAATAGTAATAATAATATTTATATAGCACCTTTCAGTGCTAAGCGCTTTACAATGCTTTAAAAAGGTCCGGATAAAAAATGAAAATCTTACTAGAATCATTTACATATAATCCTTACATAGTCGCAAAAATCAGCAAAATAAAAACCCAAGGTAGTTCGTAAACGCGCTTAAAAAGAAAGGTCTTCAATTGAAAACTGAGTTTAAATTAAAAAATAAGGCTGTCCTATCTGAAGAAAAGTTCCGTTTGCCAGATACTTAACCTGCACCACAGACGGGAACTAAACGTGTAACCGGGGTTTATTTACATCTACGACGCAGGTTACTGGATACTCAGCCATGTCTATAAATGGTTTCGTTTCCAGTATATCGTCCACACCGACGCAAAAGCATAGAAATTCGGTAGGGCGAGAAAAAACCCGGGTTATTGATTTGCTTTTCATGCCGACGGTAAACACAAAAGCATTGAATGTGTGACAAAAGTAGGACTCCCCGCTGTCCTGCACCCCCTCCCCTCCTTTTTCCCCTCCTCCCTTACCCCTTTGAGGCCCGACTGGAGAGGATGGAAATGGGGCAAGATGAAGTGACGCCGGGTCAAGTCACGGAGCTGATTCAGCTGATTGTTGGAGTTTAATCTAAAAGAATCTCACCCAAAGGCAGTTTGCATTGCGCGCTCACGCTCAACTCACGCTCTTCATTCGCCATTTTCAGGGCCCCCGAAAATCCGAGTTTTATAACCTTGATATTCCATCCTTTCTTTCGATAATTTAAGCTCTGAAACCCAAAAGGCACGTGGGATGTGTCAAGTCAATCAGTGTTAATAGGCTGCAACAAGAGCCATGCATAATGGCTCTTGGCTGCAAGCGGTCTCAGACATCGAGTAAAGCTAGCCTGCGAAAACATTCGTTTCTCCTCGCACGTCCCCAGCGGCGAAGAGCGAGGAGAAACGGATGTTTTCGCAGGCTACGAGTAAAGCTTGTAGCAAGATGTATACGTGCGCGTACCTACGTGGAGAATACGCCACCCTCCGAGGTTTTATCCCAATAATGAGATTTATTACAAGGGTTGTTATTGCTTTCGATGTATTTCTTTCTACTGCCAAATAAAAACAATGAAATATGTGAAAAAAATATTCTCATGGAAAAACACTTATAGCTAGCAGCTGTCTTAGATCAATGGAAAAGCCGCCTGTTAAGGATAAATCCATCTATTTTCCTTTGTCATATTTTTTTTGTCATGTTTTCTTTTTATATGATATTCAAGATAAAAATGATATTACTTTGAATCATAAATCTAGTTTCAGATTAATTGCATGACATGATAATAAATGGTTAGGTCTTATCGGCCGATTTTCTAGTAAGTGAGTTTAGTTTCCAACTGGCAGTATATTAAAAGAGTTTCACTGTTTCAATTTCAATCGCTAATATTTTTCTCAGTACCCCATAGAGAGACTAGTTATGGTGCAAATCGTAGGTTCGGAAGTTTCCCATAGTATACTGCTGCGAGACTAATGCTGCCGACATTGAAATAAAATAACCTACATTAGGCCTTTCTTTAAGTGTCTCCGCCCTCAGACTAGAACACAGTAAAAAACAGAGCTCACATGGTTACTTTCTACAGTGCGTTCTTTCCAGGGAGTATGTTTTGTTCATATTCAGTATTGAACGGTTACAAGTTCAGTTAGTTGTTGCTCTTTGAGGCTGTTTTCCTTGCTATTCCAATTTTGTTTTGAATTGGCAAAGCGATTGGCAAATACAGGTCGTAATTATAGAGCAGGTGCTATCCAGTGAAATGAAAACCGAAAAACCTGGAAGCTCAATAAACCAAGGAAAAGCGAAATGATCGTTTAAAGATAAACAAATTAATAAACAACAACATAAACAACAACTAGCGACTAATATTAATACACTGTTATCGCATTTTGTGTGTAAGATGCTCCAACAAAAAAAAATTAATTTTCATAACCTGCATAATCTGTTGGTAAATATTTGAATAAGGCACATTTCACCGCGAAAGAGGATGTACAGTCACCACCGAGTGCCAATCAAAAGCGGGATAATCTGCTGGTTTTTGCTGAAAAACTCATTTACATTGTCCACGCGTAGGTCGCTTGTCGATTTTCGTCGATTTTTTTAATTATTTGAAGTTGGCAGCGTCTAATTGTGTGCACATAAACGCTAATTTAGTTCTTTTCCATTTAATCTATTTCCCCAGAAATTGAAACTGTAATTTTTCATTTTTAGTCTAGGAAAGAACAGAAAGCCTTTTGTTTAGTATTTGCATAATTATACTACAAGCAGAGTACGATAATATCCCTTACGGCTGTGACGCAAGAAATAAAACGAGAAGGAAAACAAGCGAGGACTAACACGAACATGGGCGCGCGTGTTGCCTCGCTAGAAATACCATACTCCTTTGCAGAGACACGTTCTTTACTTCCTTCGAGTAATAACGATACCAGTGAGTGAGCACAAACGGACATTTATCAGACACGACTGCTTTATTTGGAAATATTGTAGACTGCGATCTCCCCGAAAAGGTGCTGGAAACGGTCGTTTATGAGAAAACTGAATTAAGACCCGGGATTAAGATCATATGTTCTTTATTTGGCACTTGACTCTTCTATGGCTAGTTTTGTCTCGCTCTTCTCGTCTACAGCTGAAATACACCGCTCTCAGCGTGCTGTTAGCGTTGTCCTGAGCGCAAATGGATCTCAAAGCTCGTCATGGAAAAATCATTAAACTCCAGTAGAAATTTTAAGCTTCCACCGATACAAGGAGCAGCGCCAGCCGCGAATATTCTCCGACAGCCAGCTTCACGAGGCAAGCAGACATGGCCGCACGAATACGGACACCGAGCAAACGGACATCATCGGTCAACACGGCAAGTTATTCACGTCCCTAATGATCCATTCCCCGGTCGATACAGAAGTCCACGGCATGCTAGCCATAACTTGTCGAATGCAGCGGGCAAGCAGCGCCCGTTCAACTCCGGGGCCGTCGAAAATGAAATGAACAGGGGGGAATCCTTAACGCTTGAGTTCGCACCCATGGTTCATAATTTTCCTCAGTCGTACACAGTTCTTCCTCCCATTCAGAAAATCTCAAAGCCGTCTACTAATGAAACTGAAATTGCGACTCAAGACAAAAACTTAAGGGGCGACGAGGAGAAAAAATTAGGTGCCCAGTTGATCAGAGACGATGTTGGTAAACCAAACAATAAGCATAAAGGTAGTGGCGTGCAAAAACATCACGATAAGAGTGGAGATTCAAATACAAGCAACAATAATATTAAACCAGACTCGGGAAATGGAAGAAACCTTTCTAAAAGCAAAAGACAAACTGATCCTGAAAACCAGGATAGCGAAACTGGAGAAAGAAAACAAAGTGCGACCACAGTGTTGTTTCTTAAGGGAAAACGTATAGGTCGTCGAGTTGGAGTTTGCTTGGAAAACGAACCGGCTTTAATCAATGTGACGGAACAGCTAAAGGAGATATTTTTACGAAGGAATATGGAAGAAATGTACCTAATCTAGTGGGTTATTGACAACATGGTGGGCAGGTGCGAGGTCGTGTTTACAGTTTAACACAACGGGAAAAAAAGGAAAGCGACAAGCGAAATCGCTTTAGGAAAGGATAAGTGTTTGGTCAAATTCTCAATTTAGAGAATATGTAAGAATCAGTGCTTCACGGAAGTGTTTGCGGTTTGGGATTCACAGGCGACAAAGTAGTAGGAAGTGGGTTTATAAAGGAAAAACTCAGATCTGTTTCTGGGTTATACAGGTAGATTACAGCGAGCTCCACATTTCCATAACAACCGACAGATGCTAAACGCAGCCAGTTCACATTTGCCATTCTTACTTCCTGAAAGGGTGACATGGAATATTCATTTCCACGGCCTTGATAGTAGATTGACCCTATGAAAATATATAGATTGCAAACAAAATTGTATTCTTAATTCGATATCTTTGAACCATCTTTGGATCTTTAAGACCAACCGAGCGGCTACATATCCAAACGAAACATGATTTCCCACTTGTTTAGCCAACAGCACATTGAAATTGAAAGTGGATATTAATTGCATCGTTGAAAGAAAGAAGTTTATTCAGCCATTAGGATTTGGTATGGATTGCTAAATTTAATCCAGTCGATGAAAACATTGCGTGCGGTTCTTCCAACAGGGTCAACGAGTACTTCTCAGCAACGCGTTAATTTTTTAGGTCTATTTTCAAGACCATTAAATGGAGTGTTTTTACTTTCTCACAAAGCGCAAATCAATCAACCCACGCCAGTGCGCTAAGGACCCCAAGAATTAAAAATATTGCTACAAAAAGTTAAAAATTGAACTGTCTTTTGACCTGAGAGATTTTAATGGCCTCAAGGATTAAAAGCTTTTCTGTTCTGAAGGCGGCTCCTAATTTGGGGTTTCAGTAACTTGATGACTGAGAGCTATGAATTCGAATGAAACTGAATAAAAAAGTGACATTTTCATAGCAAATGTATTCAGATCACAAGAGGTTTTTGCCGATCACTGTTTAATTGTTCGTGGGTGCAAAGTGAATTGAGTGGCTATTGAAAAGCAAATCACGTTGTTTTTAGCAGTTGGCGTCATTCATGAAAAGTTTATTGAACTATACTCGATAAAATCGAGAAACGAAGATAAGTTAAAGTCTCTTTTTGTAATCTACGAACTTTCTAACATCTGTAAATATTATTTATAACATACATACATCTTGTAAAAATTTTCATCTAGCCGTATGAGATTGTTCATTGAAAAGTTGTCAAAATAAAAACAAGATAGTTTTCAAAGACCGTGTGGTCAAAAGCACATAAATTATTGAAGACTGCGTGGAGAAATGCCAGAGAATAATGTCCACGTATAATCATGCTGGCCCATATTGGCCAATATTGATCTGGTCTAACCGTCAGTGGAAAAAAACCCGAGTTGCCTTCATGACTCTAGCTGATGCATGAAATGTTATCGAGTTGGAGGAAGGCCAGGGTGAATCACATGGTTAAAGTCACGGGTCTTCAAACATTTCCTTGTTTCTATTCACTTTGGTCGGGTTAAACCTGGTACCCCTTTCGTATACCTTCTATTGACAAATGGTACCCCTTTCACATACCTAGTTTAGAACTTTACATCCCTATTAACTGCTGTAACACAACCAGAAAACAAAATCAGGACGTTTTCTCGACTTTTCACCGCAGTAAAATGCATCTTTTACTGAGCCCTTTTGGGCCTTTTTACAAACCGAAATAACAGATTTCCCTACCCTTTTATATTCCTCAACTAGTGACACTCCTACCCTTTCATATCCTTGAGGCCTGAAAAAGGGACCCCTTACGGATGGAGCCCTCCCGTATAGCCCATTAGAGCGAGTACCCCGGAAGCCTGTTAGTGACCTAAGGCGATCGATCGAAAGGCCTACTGAATCGTTCGCGTTTGAAAGCAAATGCGAGCGAAGTTGAAAGAGCCCTGCCTGCGCTCCAAGCGCTCCCCATTTATCTCTTTCCCCCTTCTACTGGCAGGCTTTAAAGTACACCGTCAAGTATGTGTGTCAAAGGAAACCTTGACAGATTCACACTTCCTAACCAATCTAATCTATTATCACATCTAATGAATTCTACTGACTATTATATTAACATCCAATTAATTTCATTTATATCATCTTGCTTTGAATTGAGAGACAAACTTGTCTCCGGCATAATTAATCCTTCCGATGGTTGAAAATTAGCAATGATTAATATATTTTAATATATTTTATTTTTATGTTTTTAAATATTTAATTTAAAAAGGAATCAATAATTAAATTCAAGTAGCTTTTGTAATACTGTAATACTTTGTTACAGTCATGCAAATAAAGCTTATTGTTGTTGTTGTTGTAGTAGGACTGATTTCCAACTGCAATGTATGAGAAATGAGCCTTCGCGAAGCCTACTACATGTAGTCTAGTAGTTTGTGTGTCAAGCTAGGTGGTAAAGTTGTGTGATTGTCACTGACTCTCCTTTACAATTCACGTGACAAGTTGTCTGAAAGATCAAACAAAGTGTACAACTATAGAAGAGCAAGTGAAGTATTGCATTTAACTAGTTCATCTGCTCTTAAAATTTACGAACCTTTAATTGAGACTGCTTTTCTACTAACTGCGAAATTTCAAGTCTCGCGTAATCTGCCTAATCCATTTGCGCTAAATTAGAGACGGATTCGGACTCGGAGAGTGAGTCGCAATCGCACCCGGCATAGTAAATCGAACCCAATCGAACTAAATTTCAATCGAACTAAATCGAACTCAATCGAACTCAATCAGTGGATTGAGTTCGATTGAGTTCGGCAATCGAACGAAATCGAACTCACCGAAAACAAAAAAAATCAATCGAACCCAATCGAACGTTCTATTTTCGAACTCGTGATTTATGTAAAACAGACGTTGAAAATCCATTACCAGATCTTAGAAGCTCGAGTTATTTCAGCCCTGAGTGTAGCGCACGTGTTTTTCGTAAACGAAGAAATTCCGCAGAAATGGCTTCAGATGCGTTGTGGATCGTAAGCTTCAAATGTATAGTCAAAGGCAATAAAAGGGGGTGGTAGGCCTACACGACTTTTACCTCATGCCGAAATGCTGATTATTCCAATAAAGTTGTTTTTATCTGCTGGGTAGATTATGCTCTGGAAGGTTCTGCATTTTACTGAGCAAATGTGGTTTTAGCCGCATGTTTCACACTAAGAGGGCATGACATATATATTTGTATATATCGATTGACTGTAGTTATTGTTTTCTGGTGGGCAGGATTTGCCCTCTGATGCAAGCGCATTTTCTTTGACCTCTTTTGAAGCATAAAGCTTTTTTATTACGGCTGAATAAGGGTTCCAATTTTCTCCAAAGTGCCTTCTGGTTCTGATCTAAGCGATTTTCTTTAGTCCGTGAGTGTAATGTTTTTCTGCAATGCTGTATCACGCTGGGTCCAGCTCGTCAGTTTTCTTTTCACTGAAAGTGTGGTGTTCCCCACGCATTCATCTCTTTGAAAAGTGCCAGTAATATTAGAATAAGAAATTAAACTACTCATAAGGAAACGAAACCACAGCTACCTTTCTCGCGACTGCTCGTATTCAAACTTATGCTTATGTTAACGTTATAATCACAGAAAAGAGCGCAGCTGGGGCCTACATTTTGACTCTGAGTACAATTAATGAAAGGAGAGTCATCCTATAATCCCTCGAACGAAATCCATTTAATTGTGTTCGATTGAGTTCGGTTTCCGAACTCAATCGAACACAATCAGACGGATTGAGTTCGATTGAGTTCGATTTGTTCGATTGAATTCGATTTGTTCGGAAATCGAACTCACTGAAAGTGTGGTGTTCGATTTCGTTCGATTGCCGAACTCAATCGAACTCAATCCACGGATTGAGTTCGATTGAGTTTGATTGAGTTCGATTTACTATGCCGGGAATCGTAACAGCGTTTATAATCCATTAAAAATTAAAAATTAGAGTTACTTTTTTTCCGACTCCACTTATGACTCGTCGCTGACCATCTAGTGAAAACTGTAGTTGGAACCAGATTGTCCGAATCAGAAGCCGTAGCATAAGAGTATGCTTAAAATTGATCATGACTGCCCCTTCGTTTTGCAAGTCATCTTGCGCTGTTTAACTAAGCACTTTTGTTTACTATGTAGCCCTAGGCTAGGTCTCCGGCCGGGACGTAGATACTAAGATGCGCCGAAAAAGTATACGAAAGAAGATAAGAAATTACTGCTTGGTAACACAGGACGAACAGAATTTAGATGCATTCTCCTAACGTCGAACACAATCATGAGTCCTCTTTCACTGAACTGCATGCTGCTTTCCTTGTTCCACTTCATATCCGATCGATCTTGCAAGCCTACCGTTAAAGGGCGAGTACAAGGTCGACTAAGTTGCCATTCAAACCACTTTTGATGATCTTCACCTCAATATTTCTTTTTCAGTTTTAAATGGGCTGTTACTGTAGCTGTAAATTGCATGGCTCAAGACTAAGTGTTAGAGAGCCACCACGTTTGAAGATTGGTTTACCGAATTTTCTAGAATAAGCGCTTCATTTGGGAGGAAAAATTAATAAGCGTCGCCGCCCTGATATAGTCAAAATTTAAAAGATAGTTCAACACAGAAAATAATAATGCCATAGTTAATACACTTGAGGCTTGAAAATTTAAAAACCGCCGCTGTGATTAAACGAGTAAATATGGTAAATATTTAGTCCATTAAGGGCAGGTCACTTGCGACTCATATCTCCCCCTTTAAAAGGAGAGTGTTCACAGATACTGGAAGCCAACAGACGACAAAAGCACACAACAACACGGAACTGCATGCTGACAGTCTTTTCGCGCTTCCGACGGAAGCCGATTGTTTCCAACAGTTTCTTTTCCAATCGAGAACGGTTCGCTTGCGTGATTAAGGTAGAACTTTGCCTGCGATGTCATTGTGAGATTTTGCAAATGTAAACGTGGGTATCATACATCTCTATTAGCAATGGTGTGCAATAAGTCAACACTG